CTCCAGCTGCGCGCGGACGATCGGGGTTGCCTGGGGGCAGCGTTTGAGCAACTCCACCACCTCGCCGCGGCTGAGCTGGCAATCCGCGGAGACGTGGCGCCGCTTCGCGAGGTAGCCGGCGAGCTCGCGCGGGAGCGACGACGGATCGCCGTCCCCGCTGTACTGCACGGCGTGCGCGAGTTTCAGGCGGACGGCGTGGGCGTCCGGCAGGGCATCCCCGACGGTGCGGTGAAACAACGACGCCATAAAGGCCTCCTCCGGGGAGAACAGGCTATCCATGTAGCACGACTCCAAGGTCCGGACGGCGCCACCGTAATGCCCCGTCGCGCACTGCATCACGGCGTAATAGAACGACGCCGACAGGGTCGGTGGGAGGAGAAAGGAAAGGCTGGTGTGCACGGGGTATAAATAATACGGCGAGGGCACCGACTCCTGCCAGCGAAGACTCGAGCGGTCGAACATCAACAGCCCGTGAAAGGGATCCTCGGCGACCGCGACCGGCGTGAAGTCGTGATTCGGCACCATCAACGCGATCTCGTGCGTTTCGTTGCACAGCACGAGGCATTGCTGAAAGGGATCCTTGAGCTGACGGAGCTGGGCTTGATGCTTGGAGGAAAGGAGATCCTCCTGCTCCGCCACCCGCCACCCGGGCTGATCGGCGAGGTAAAGCCGCAGCCGCGCATCGCCGCCATCCCGCTGCACCTGCAGCTTTGCGCGAAGTCGTGGAAGCTCGATGAAGTCGACGACCACCGTGCGGCTCGAGGACGTCTCCGTCGCTGTCATCCAACCCTCGAGCCCGTCTTTACCCCCGTCTGGGGCTTCTTCCTCGTTGTTGGGGGTGGTCGAGGACGATACCGCGCGCGTATCACGCCCCCATACCAAAATATGCGAGCAATCCTCCAACTTCGTCAGCATTTCCAACAGCGGGCGGAGGGAGGGGCAGCACATCAAATTCACCAACACGCGATCCGTCGGCAGGAGCCCGGGCGGCGGGGTCGCTCGTTTGCAGGCCCCATGCGATTCCCCAAGGCTCGGCAGAGCCTTCCCCGGCTCCTTTTGGGCTTCCTCATTCTCGTCTGAACCCCCTCGCGCCGCGGCGACGAGCCGTGCGATTTCTTCCTGATGCTCCGTCCGCATCGCCCATCGAATCGCCCCGCTGATATCCCCCCCGACGCGCGCGAGAAGATGCGCGCAGACCTCCCGTGGGAGGTGCGAAAGGGCGGCGTGCACGAGCGCCACTTCGGAGTCCGCACCCGGAGTCTGAGGCGCCTCAGGGGCGCTCGCGGGGCTCGTGTCCGATGGGGAATCCCGCCACGAATCGTCCGATGTCTCCGCCGCCTCCTCCTCCTCCTCCTCGTTTGGAAAGGCCGGGCTTGAGACGCCACGGGGAGGGGGTTGCCAGGGCGATGGGATGGAAGAGGCCGTCTCCGTCTCCGTCTCCCCCTCCTCGGCGCGATGCAGGAGATGTTGAATGCTCGCCAGACCCTTCGCCATCGCCGCCCTGGAAGCGCTCCTCGAGGCCATTCCGGACGTGGATTTCGCGCGGATTGGGGTGTAGGTTTTGTCATCTCGACGAATCACCGTGCAGGTCGTGGAGTCGGCATCCAGGTAGACCTCCACCGCGTAGTTAAACCAGTGATCGAGCATCTCGGCAGACGGGCCGTTGAAGGTTGCCGCGCGGTCCTTTGCGGCCATCCCGATCGCCTCCGGCGTCGTCTCCTCCTCTTCCTCTGCCTTCTCCTTCTCCACATCGCAGGAGTCCTTCTCGGGGTGGTCGTTTTCCCCTTTTACTTTCTTCTTTTTATTATCTTGCTCCCCCTCGGCCTCCTTTTCGGGTGTGGCGACGGCGTGGGCTTCGGCTGTTCTCGGGTACCCCCGCAGCACGTCATCCTCGCCTTGCCAAAAAAAGAAAGCCTCTAAAAGGGCGCTCGGGATGATCCCTTGGAGGAGGCGCGCGGGCAAATACATCTCGCGCCCGTTCACGGCCGTGTTAAAACGGTGAATCTCCAACGAGCTCTCGCGCCACACGCGTCGTTTCAAATCTCCAGCCTTAAAGGCGGTCGTCGTGAGGGCCTCCCGCGTCCGTGCGGTGGAGAGGAGCTCCAGACTGTGCAGACAGAACCGCTGATTCGTGCTGAAGACGAGCGAGCGGTAGAGTTTTCGGGCGTGGGGGACGAGATTAAAGAGGTGAAAATGCGGCGTCGGATCGCGGACCGCGACGATCTCCTTCCACGTCGCGCGATCCCCGTCATCC